ATATATATATATCTCTATATCTATATATATATAGATATAGAGATATATATAGATATATATATAGGCTTTCTACCAAATGCTTACCCATTGAACATTCTGTAGTTGTTTATACCGCACAGTACAATTCACATTTAAGTCGTCAGGCACCAGAGTAGGTCTTCTCCATGACAACAAAAACGATGGATTTTCAGTGCAAAATGGTTGCAAACCCAAACTGTTAGGAGGGTCAATTTTCACTAAAGAAATTACATAATTAGTTTGCAGGTATTTTTAAAAATGTCATAATATCACTCAGGCTATCTAAATAAAACCCCATAGAGTTCTAGCTGCATCACACAAAATAAGAGTTTTTCTGGGGAATAGGACAGCAGAGGGAGGCATGCTGAAAGATGGAGAAAGTACATTGACAGAGAGATGAGCTCATCAATGTGCAGCTTCTCCTTTCACTGTCCAGTCACGGGCTGGGGCAGGTCAAGAATGACCTTGGCTCAAAGGAAGTGGGTAAAAGAGAAACTCCAGAAACATAAAAAGTTAACCCTTGCATTGGGGCTACTCCCGCACTGCAAGGATTGACTGCTCGTTTTGGTCCTGGGGCTCAAATAAAAAAATATACTTACCTGATCCTCAATCCCGCCTGGCTGCCAGACCGGTTGCCACAGCCTCTTCTCCCCCAGGCTCTAGCAGTCAAAGCCCATGACATCATCACATCTTATTTACCATTAGGCTTGAGGACCTCGAGGGACATACCACACTCAGAGTGGAGGGGGAGAGAGGGAAGAGGTGAGTGCTGACTGCCGCATGTTGATCAGGTGAGTATATCTTTTATTTTCTGGCCCCTAGAGAAAAACGAGCTGTTATTCCTTGTGGTGGTGAGGGGGTAGCCCCAGTGCAAGGGTTAACTTTTTACATACTTGGAGTTCCTCTTAAGGCCCGGTTCACACCTGAGCGTTTTACCGCGCGTTCCTACGCTCGGTAAAACGCGCAACAGGTGAAAACCCATGTTTGTACATGTTTGTCTCATGTACAGGAGCTTCTTTTGGGCGTATTACGCGTGTATCCCGCTGTATCCATTAGGATACAGCCGGATACCCCCTCGGAAACGCGCGTTTGCCGTGCATTTCTTTTACCGCTAATCGCGGTAAAACCGCGCGGTAAGAAACGCGCGGCAAACGCGAGTTTCCAATACGCTAAGGTGTGAACCCAGCATAACGTAATTATACAGTACTGGTCAGACTGAGGAAACAAAGTGGAAGAAAAAAAAAAAAGTACTGCGAGAGAAATTGCTGGATTGAAGATGAATATTGCAGCAAGAGCTGGTTTTGTTATTTAATTTTTTTATGGACTATTCATTTTTATCTTGTTATTTTTAGATGGAGTTCTGCTTTAAAGCAACTCTGCCACATAAGTAGAAATGCATGCAAGCAGATACCTGTAAAGAAGAAACAGAATACTTACCTTTCCCACTGAAAAAGCAATCCCCCCCCAAGTCTGCTGGGAAACCAGCACTTCCAGGAGTGTCAGTCTAGCTCTCTTTTTCACTACTAATATGTCCTGCATTGATGTAGAAGTCATCAGGAGGAAGCAGTGAGTGCTGCTAAAAAAACAATAATACATACAACACATATTGCACAACATTCAGATTCTTCACCTAATCTGTAGGTGTTCACTGATATTACAGGACTTGCCACTTTGCCAAGCTCATTCTCAGCTTCCACTTGGACTTCATATTCCCCATCAAGCTGCTCCCCATCATCAAGATAGAAGAAAGTGCAAGAGTTGGTGTTGGTCCTACACATAACTGAGGTATCAAGCAGTCTGACAATGAGAAAGAAAGAAACATGACTGCCTATCATGCAAAACCGAAAAGAAAGAGCGAATGCTATGACAGCATTTTTCTCATGGCCACATTTCCTACTGTTTGCACTAGTTTGCTCTGTCTGGCCAGACTGCTCTATCAGTTGCCATTTAGAAATACACCTACCCATATGTAGCATGCTCATTGACCTTATGGCTTCGATTTTGGTTGGAAGTGTTATATTTACTCATGTGTGGCATGCTCCTTGATCTTCAGACTTCGATTTTGGTTGGATGTGTTATATTTACCCATATGTGGCATGCTCTGATTTAACCATAAGTGTTTCTCAAAGTGGTTTACATTTCAGAAACCTTATAGACAAAGAAAAACTGTGGCTTATACTTATGCCCATCTAAGCAGGCCACACCCTAAAATGCTAATCAATGCACAGAGACAAACCTATGTCGAAATAAACACACATGAATTAACAAAATCTATATAATTAAAGTTTACAAATGTTTTTATTCAATCTCTGAATTTACCAGAATACCCAGAGGCCATGTTTTTGTTTTGGGAAGTCCAGCATGATTTTCCCCTTCTTTAAACCAGTACATACAGTATACCCATTTGTTATAACCCCCACTCCACACCAGAATCTGTCAGGAATCTCAGGTCTCAATGGAGAATAATTTTAAACACCTCAAAACTACTGAACAGCATACAAGTATCAGGCACCTCTGTGGTAGGGGCACCTGTAGGCACATGCCCATAGTTTCTAATCAGTGGCGGAGCTAAGGAACAAAGGGCCCTGGTGCAAGATTTTTTTTGGGCCCCCCCCCCCCAAAAAAAACACAAACACAGCGCTCTCCTCCCGTTAATAAGCTAAGCTGCTAAGGTGGCCATACACCTATAGATTTTCTGCAGCTTTTCTATGGTCAGATGTAAAAAGTGCAACAGATTCCTCTATCTACGCTAAACTGTGTGGATGGAGGAATCTCACACTGGGCCTAGCTTCAATATCTTGCTAGTCGGCCCCACTGGCTGTCAAAATACCTGAACAATCTGATTGGATGCAGGCATTGTTCAGGTATTTTGAGAGCCAACGGGGCTGACTAGCAAAATACTGAAGCTTGGCCTAGCGGGAGATTCCTCCATCTACACACAGTTTAGCGTAGATAGAGGAATCTGTTACACTTTTTACAGGGCCAATTTAGACAGGAGCCAATTAACCTTCCAGCATGTCTTTGGAGTGTGGGAGGAAACCAGAGTACCCGGAGTAAACCCACACAAGCACAGGGAGAACATGAATTACCTGATTGGCCTGCAATCTTGTTTTGCTATAGAAATGAGAAAAAATAACTTACTTTATCTTAAGTAAGGTAAAATGAGTCGGAAGTCTTGTGTTCTTTCCAGTAATCCAGGTACACGTTAAGTTTCTTTTATGGAAGTAAATACAGGAAATATTGTGTGGGGTTTCTGGTGGATCTGTATAAAAAAAGAAAAATGCAGAAACAGAAAGAGAAGAGAAAATGATGGAGAATGAGCACATTTCAAAATGAAATCCTTCAGGAGCATATAGCTAAGCCCCGAATGGACGTAATGCAATATTTAAACTGTCCTTACAGTACTTGCAAGGCAACAGAATTATTAAGGGTTACTAAGGCACCAGGCAGCCAGCATATTCTTTATTGTGGACTATAGCCAGTTAAATAATTTAAACTGACGTAGGTTGTTATACATAATTATGTTATAGTTAGGTTGTTATATAGTTAAACAATGTGATTAAATATTTTTATAAAAAACTACTTATGCAGTAGACATAAAGACATAATACCCGCTGGCACAACCGATGTACACCGGCTGCAAAATTAAATTTCTGCTCCCAAATGTCAACAAAGGGGCGGAGCGAGTCATGACATCAACTGACTTGTTCCGTCCATTTGTTTACATTCATCAACAGCTCTCTGTCCAATAATGTCCCCAAAAAATCCTTCCCATATTGAGGGCATGTGGTCTTGTATGGTGCAGGAGGGGGGCGCATGCTCGTTACTCACCCTTTCCTGCTCTGCCAGGCTGCTGCTCAGATCAAGAGTCTAGTAAGGGATTTTAGAGGGGACCACACGCTTTAAAAAAAAAAAAATTGGCATTGGGGTCCCCCCTAAAATTCCTACCAGACCTAAAGGGTCTGGTATCATTTGAAGAGGGGACTCCAAGCTGGTCTTTTTTTTTTAATGTGTAACAACACAAATTAGTTCCAAATGGCATTTGGAAAAAATTTGGATGCATCCGAATTTCATTATTGGAAATTGTGATTTGTTCAGATTCGTTATTTTTCGTTCGGAAATTTGGATGCATCCGAATATGCCGATATTCTTCGGAATTTTTATTCAGAATGAAACGAATTGCACATGCCTACAAACCATGTGAATTAGATAAAGCCAGTCCATTAGCCTAACAGCGGTTACTAGCCCTGCCACCATACCACTAAAAATATTTACACTTTCTATTAGGGAACAAAATTAGTATTGGACCCAGCAATTAGCTACTCACTTGACACAGATCTTCAAGTGTCACACCTATTTACGAACTGGGGGGGTTGTGGATCGCAGCTGCGGAGGCTTCTCAGGCGGGGAACCCTGGTTTCACTCTCAACTCAACGGAGAGTTAGGGTTCTTAGCATCACAGCCTCAAATTAAATAATAAATGGATCGGAGAGGGTTATTCCTTAACCACTTCCGGGCCGGCCGTAGTAAAACGCGGCCTAAGAGGACCTGTCACATATTTTGCTATCACATAGGTGGTTTTTATTAGCCCCGTATGTGATAGCAATAAAGTTTAGTAAAAACAAAAAAAAAAAAATGTAAGCCCCCCCAAAAATGTAAAGTTACACATAAAAAAGAAAAAAATAATAAAAAAACAAAAAAAGTCCCCACCCATACATACACGCATGCAAACATGCATCGGGGGCGCATACGTGCAAAAACGACGATTGCGCCCATTACGCCGCACATGTTACATATCGCCGCGAACGTCGCAGTGAGAGCAATAAGTCTAGGGCCATCAATCACTGATAACACTAAACTGATGAGCGGTAAAAGCTTTTAAAGTGTCGCCTATGGCCAATTTTGGGTATGGTAGTTTTCTGCGATTTCGCGGGTGCGCGCAATTTTAAAGCTTGACATGTTTGGTGTCTATTTACCCGACGTGACCCCGATTTTTATATTTTACCAAAAAACTGGGTAATATTAAATGTTTCCTAACATAATTTTTTTCAAAAGTTTCTGTAATTTTTCCTAATTATAGTAAAAAATAAAAACCCCAGTGGTGTTTAAATACCACCAAAATAAAGCTCTATCTGTCCCCAAAAAATGGTGTAAAATTCATTTCAGTACAGCGTTGCATGACGGAATAAACTTCAGTCAAAGTACCGCACCGCTGAATACTGAAAAATGGACTGGCCAGGAAGGGGGTCTAAACACCTGGTCTTGAAGTGGTTAAGCAAGCCTATCAATAAGCTCCAGTATACAATTCGTGAGTACTGAATTAGCAAGGCATAGAAGACACGACAGTATTATTTGGCATTGGTACAGTTCCCCAGTAAGTAGATAGGTTTTGCAATTGGTATTTCAAAAGGTATACAGTCCTGATGGCAGAGTGTGCAACTGCACTGAGATACTTGCTGTAAGGTGAATGCCGCTGGAGGTAGCTGGGGGTCCTTTGTGGTGTCCGGTTCCGGTGTGTGTGGCTGGAGGGCACAGTCTGGAGGCTATGGAGGGTCCCAGGAGACAGCAGGCGTTCTGGCTCAATATTGGAATGCCATGCTGTCTCGTCTGGGCGTTTAAATAGGGCTATGGTGAGGAGGAGGCGCGGCATGCACCGGCGCACTTCCGCGTTCCACGGTGGAATGCACGTGGCCCCGAAACCGGAAGTGACGAGCGTGCGCTCCACCATGAAACGCAAGCGGCCCAGAGAAGGAGCGGCTGGCCGTCGCGTCCCCCGTCCCTGCTAGACGTGACGGCGGCGGCCGTTACATCAAGCTGCCCTGATCATATAGTATACACCTCATTTCTGCTGTACTGAAAATCATAGGCATTATGTTTCTTCCATATTATACTTACTTCCAGTTTTAAAGAAAATTTTATCCAGATGAAGGTCCTTATAGGAATCAGTTGCAGGGATTTTACAAACCACCTCCACAGATGCAGCTGAGATATTTTGTATGGTAATAAATCTCACTGTCTTGTTTAGACACCCGTCTTGTACTCCTGCAGTTATATTTGGAGTCAACATCCAAGACAGATGTGCACTTGTGTAGATACTACTTTTCACCTTGCAGAAAAAGGTAGCATTTGATCCTAATTGAACATATTCCATACGTGGAAATATTTGTGCTTCCTTCAGTAAATTATTATCTAGTAAAAAAAAACAAAACACAACAGTGCAACATATCAAATATAGAATGAAACAATTATTTTGGCAGTGTTCAATTTAGATGACTAAAGCAACACTGCCACTAAAATTAGTAAGCAGTTATAGGAGTTCTCGGTAAGGAATATAATAAACAACTCTAGAAATTGTCCCCTCAAGTCCCTTCAGAATTCCAAATTTCTCGTTCTCTGCTGCGCTCAGTGGTTCCTTCTAACGTCAGTATTGCATCATATACTGATGTAGGGGTCGGCAGGAAGAACCATTGAGCATAGTGGAAGATCAACCTGGGATACCTACCAGCTTGTATACTATGTGAAACAAGCCAGCAGACGGGAAGCTGTCACTTAGTGGCGGTAGTGATATCACCACTAAATGAATGACTTCCAGTTGCAGAAAATGGAGATTCGGGTGGGCAGGTAAACTAGCCAAATCAATACAAGCTGCTTTGGTTCCTAATGAGGGTTCGACCCGACCCTCATCCCTGATTCTAGTGTATAGGTACTGTGCTAGTTAGTGACCAGACCTGGTTTTGTAGCTTGCTGGTCGACAACTGCACAAGGCTATACATACTCCCCCAGATTGCATTCAAGACTTGACCTGCAACAAGTGTTACAATGTGGGGTGACAGGGAGAGTGTCATATTATTTGCCACCAGGTATAAATTGTCACAGTTTCGGAAGCAGAGGAGAACTGAGAATGTAAGTGCTGGCTCCATACTGTCTGTCCTGTTTAGTTCATCTGTTAATGTCTTTTCCTAATATGGACAAAGTACAGGTTTATTTTAAGAATTAGCAGAACCTCTTTAGCTTCTCTTTAGCCTGCAATAATTACAAAATATCAGGAATTATAGGAAAACTAAATAAAAATATATTAAAATACCAGCTAAAAGTAGCTTCACCGCCATGGCTAAAATCCAGTGTGTGCCAAACATCTTAAACTCTGTAAAGAAAGGTGATATATAAAAGAAAACTATTGTTAAAAAATAAATATATAAGAAAGGTGATACATAAAGGAAAACTATTGTTAAAAAATAAATATATTATAATACAAATATAATTGCTACATAAGTCATTTTGTCATTTAAAGAAAACCTGAATTGGTGTAAAAAGTTTCCAAGGTAACAAAAGAAAACCTTGCGATGTTCAGACTATACATGGGGCTTCGACTTCAAGTTCAGACTATACTTGGGGCTTCGACTTCAAGTTCAGACTATACTTGGGGCTTCGACTACAAGTTACAATTAACCCCACCCCTGTTATTCAAATGTGAAATTAGGATATAAGACCAAAAAGGAACCTACCACCATCCTCTCTTGTACATGAGCAATAGCGTGGTGAGCAATTGCTAGTGAACATAATGGACTGCCTGGAACATAGTTATTTTAGTTATATACAAAATAAAGGTTTATTCATGTCAGGGATAGAGGTTGTGGGCTGAGTGTTCATTCTTTGCTACTAAATTCAATAATTTTCTGGTGGCTTGCAAGACTAGATTTATTTTCTTGTAATATCAAAATATTGGAGGGGAGGCGGGGGGGGGGGGGGTTC